CACTGTCTGACGCGTCTGCCTCCGCGACCCGAAAGGAGAAGCGGCGATGGAAGATGAAGATGAAGACGTTATACACTGTCTCGTGCATAACAGAACTAGTAGTGTACTGTTCTGGTGGTGGTGTTTAAAGAATCAGCACTAAGTTACATATTGCCTTGTATAGTTAATGTAAACGGCCTTAGGAAAGTAGTTAAACACGTAATACATCGGTGTCGTTTACACTAACGGTACAGTGAGATTTAACCTGACACTGCTAGTTTAAATAGCACCAACGGTGTAGTACACTTAGTGTTTGCTCTTTATGCTTCTGATTTGGGTTTCTCGGGTAACGTAAGGAAGATGAAGAGAATGGAACCTGGTGGTACCCAGGCGAAAGACTGTTTGACACTTGAAACCGAAGATGTGAAAAAGCTACCAGAGCATCTGTGTCCTGGCAGTAGATTGGCTGCAGACGGACGAGTGGCAAACGAAGTTAAGAGGCGCTGCGTAATTGACATTAGCGGCAAGTAACAAGTTCAAGCTTTGGAAGGACAGCGATGTTAGCAACAGCGCGAAGCTGCGGATATGCACGGCTTGCAATTTAAACATCTTGCTTTATGGCTTGGAGACAACAGCACTTAACGAAGCTGAAAACAGAAAACTGGAGGTGATGGAAATGACGATAGGAAGGTCAATATTAGGAGTGAAATGGCTCCATTTAATGTCATATGCTGCTGCAAGAGAGAGATCAGAATATCCAACTAAAGTGATCGATTGGCTGCAAGCAAGTCGTTTGATCATTCTCAATGAATATACGATAGTCGCCTTGCGATGTGGATGCTTAAACGCTTAACGCAAAGCCAGGTGACAAGCGGCTGTCATTGGGACCTTTAACAGGATGTCGTAAAAACAGAAGTCGTAAAAACTGACATGAGATCGAAAAGACTGAAAAGTGAGCACACATTTATTCAATTCGCTTGCTAAGCTCGTTGGGCACCCGATATCGCCTTCGATGCAGTGTGATGAGAAGAACTGCACTATACAGTTAGATGAAAATGGACGAGATGTGCAGGGATGCATATCGCATTATTTTACTGGCAAGAGCTTGCTTTGTTCATCGGCAGTAATTTCTGAAGCCTGTATTGCGTAAATGCTTTTGCAAAGAAATCAAAATGTAGCTTCATAGGGCGGAAGTAAACTTACAAAGAAATGACGCCTGTAAATCCGGTTTTACAATGTTACAGATGTCGAAAGACCACATAAGCAGAGAGCACCTCCATATTAAAATTGAAATTGTCGTTGAAAATTATTTCTTGGTAGTGGAGTTACTCAAATTAACTACTCCAGGCATACGAGTGCATATTATTGAAGTTTCTGCAAAACTTAGCTCCACACTTTATGAGGTGCCCACAATACTGTTTACACTTGCATATGCCAGTGCCACTATGATATACTACGCACATCCAAGACAGATTATGAGTACAAAGTCAATTTACAACTAAAACTACAACAAACCGGTTTTTATAACGTTATGGCACAGCCCATTAGCTCCTAATTGCCTACCGGGTATTAAAACGATATGATTCTATTGCATTTTGAGACCCGCAAGTGCACCAAGGCATCACTTGTCCCGTCTTAACAATACGGTGTTCGTCAGTAATTATGCTTTCGGATTCGAATACTTGTTATATGCTTTAGCAAGTATAAAATATGGAGTGATAAGGAACTATGTAAACAATTATTTATTAGGGAACCAAGTATATCTTTGGACCAAACCCGAATTAATAGCATTATGGCACCATCTCCTTGCATCTAGACGTCTAAGGGGTCATTTAAAGGAACTCTGGAACGATTTTGAGGTTGTACTACGCTGCAAATTAAATAAATGACAATAATCGGTAGCTTGGCGGAATTATTAGTACTGAGTTAGTGCCAACTAATGCGGAGAAAAGTATCTTGATTCAATGGCATCAGCAAGCAAAACAAATGCCAGAAGGCTTCAGTCACCAGCCATTTCAGAAAACTGCGTCATTGTATTTTGCTTTGCTGATAATCTGCGGCGGCAACGTCTGATAAGTTGTTATCCCAACAGAGTATTTCGAGATTTGGACTACTTTTCTTGGACCTAAACTTTTAAAACTGTTCTGTATGTATGTATGTATGAACCAGGAATGAAATGAACCTTGAATTTTCTAATTCATGGCTTGAAGCAAATAACAGTAAACATCCGCAGAGCAATCATCTCGTATTGTTTACGAATCAAATGTCGTCACATGAAGCTTTCAACCCCAAATGAAAGTTTGGAAGGTTCAAAAGTTTGAAATTATGCTGACATGGACAGTTCAATTAAAAGCTGAAGAAAGTGACACTGACAAAGTCAAAGGTTAATTAAAGCCTGCTTACTGGACTTATTACCAAAAGGCAATTCCTTGGACGGCGATCTGGTCTGACGGGAGATCACTTCAGTGCGAAATCCCGGAGGACACGTCAGCACCTCATGGCACTGGACGATCAGGAACTTTAACAGTTGAAGCTGGCGTTGAGCGGGGACAATTCGACAGCGAAACACGACGTCCTTGAAATTCGTCAACATGAAATCCATATTGGTCATCTAAAATAATAATAAAAAACTAATGCCACCAGCGAAAAAAATCAAGATCACAGCCCTGCAATAGTCGTCAGTTCAACAATAATTAGTTAGTCGTCTAGCTGTAGATCGAATAACGTACAACGCCGCTTAGATCGTTAATTGCCACTAAACTGCCAATGTATAGGAAAGAAGTCGCAATTCCTTCGTCGTCACCTCTCATGGGTGTCAACATAGCCTCCGCCGCACCATATCTAAAAGTCTTATCGAGGTTGCTCAACTGGCCCACGGTCATGCTCAGAAACGAGAAGTCACGAGTTCGAGCCACGGTCAAATGTCTTCTCCTTCTTCCTGAGGTAATAAATTATTATCATTCAGTTGGAAGGAAACAGCAGACTACAAAATGTGCTTGTCGTATAGCTGCTATCGACTACTTTTAAAATAAAATATTCCTGGCTGATGGCATGAAAAAAAACACATCAGTGCCCCACGACTAAGTTCTTGAAAAGAAGGAAGAAAAAAAATGACCTGATCATGAAAGTGTAAGAAAGACCGACATTCCAACGGTCACAAACTTTCCTATCTTCTTTACTTCCAATCAACTTTACAACTTCTTTGTCGAGTTGACGAAACATTTCTCGCATTCAGGAGGTATTTTCCGTAATCAACACAACATCGGAGAATCTGAAATAACTGAACCGTTCGCTGTTGAATTTTGTTATCTTCAGGCAATTCAGAGACGCAGTTGAGCAATTCTGCAAGAAACCGGATCAAAGTCGCAAAACAACAAGAAAAGTTTGAAATCGTTGGAACGTACGTTTGTAATCACCAATACTAGAAATAAACTCAACGAGGATTCGACAAAGAATACGAAAATCGTTTATCTGCAGACCAGCAATAATCATTGGGTCTATCGATATAAGTAATCATCGACAAGTGCTAAGACGTCATCAATGACGAAGAGATGAACAATCTCACTCGACGGTGGTACCACGAATTTCAACACCTCGTCAAGCACATAGATCCTTTGCGAACACGGAATTTATCTAATCAGATTATTTTTGATTGCGGTTTAAGTGGACCCACAGGAACTTGATAATCTGATCGCTTTGGATCATAGGATCGTTCGAAACAATTTTTCTTTGCTCGTCTGCTGACAAAAATGTCTTGATCTTGTTTTTTCCAAACACAGGTCATCTGAAAGCTCTTGCCACAGTTGATCTTTAAAACTCTGAACTCGATTCACTACTCAACTTCCACAAGTACACCTTGTAACTTAGAGAAATCTGCGACGTAGCTGATACCTGAAATCAGTACCTTATCATCAACTTACAGAACACAGACGACAGCGCTGGTGATCGTAATGGCAGATGAAAACAATAAACCTCTAAATATGAAATAACATCGACGATTCACGGCGCGATGCTGAAATTGTAGATTGTTCACCGATTCATTGCTGTAGGCACCAAACAACACAGGCATTAGCAGTTTATTTCCAGTGCGATTCATTGGATGTGCGCTGTCGCGTTATCAGTAATTGACAAGTTGATTTCTTAGCGAGTGGTGGTGAATTTACAATTCTCGAGGAAATGAGCTACGCAGCGAGCAGACCCTCCTCACAACTGACTAGAGAACTAGGAAACAAGCAGTCAATACTAACAGATGTAATTTAAGTATTGCAGATTCGAACTTTCGTTCCTTGTCTGGCGAACGTAAGTTAGATAGTGTCTGCCGTAATGCGCGTCGGTACAAATTCGATGTATCAGCGGCTACGAAAGCTCCCCTTCAAGGGAAGGAGAAGCTTGACTTACATTGTGCAATCACTATGGTGGTTAGAAAGCAGTAGATTACACCATGCTGGAGATGGTGTCCCCTTGCCTCCTAAGGCAAGGCGACCGATCATTTCAATGAAACAGGTGTCAGAAACATCGCATGGATGTCATACAGACGACGTTGAACGTCACTATCTCTTATACCTCGACAAACAAAGTTTTCTACTATTGCTTATAATCAATAGTTAACGCTTTGTCGCGTCACGACGTAGCAACTGTCACAGGCAACCCCCGGTCACAAACGCGGAGGTAGATGCCGAGTATAGAGCATAGTCAGACGTACTCAGCCGTCATAGTATTGACAGCATGAATGATATAGGAAGGCGTATGTTGAGCGTTTACGTCGCAAACAACTTAATCGTCAATGGGACCTTTTTTCCTCGCAAGTATATTCACCAAACCATCTGAGCAGCCCGCAGTGGAAGTCTAAATACCAACTCCACATCAACCGCAGCTCGTTATTCGAGATTCGTGTTAGGAGTGGTGTCTGCACTGGGTCTTATCACCATATGGTCTTCGTGTCGAAACTTCGTCTAAAATTAGCTGTCTCATCGATGCTGTCTGGGTGAAACATATCAACTGCCTGATGTTAAATGACAAAAATATGACGAATCACCGTGATCGCCCTAACAAAAGGAGGCAGAGCGTTATTTTAGAGCAACCCTTACTGCACCGTCGGTAAGTGGCAACGTCGATGAGGCCTACAAAAACTTCAAGAAGTTTGTTATTTCCAGAGCAAAAAACATAGTTGGGGTCAGGAAGAGAATAGCCAAACAGCTATGGATTACGAAAGAACCCTGACCCTTAGAGTGCAAAGGACTTAGAAAAAGGAGTAGTTACATCACCCAACTACAGCCTCGCCGTTTCGTTTGTGCAATCAATTAAAGGCACAGACGGGAATGGAACTTTAGCTGGAGGGGGAAATCAAAAAGATCGACAAAACAGGCAGAAAAGGTGAGTGGCGAACGGTGTTCAAAGGAGCGCGACAGTTGTCTGGTAAGCAGCGAACTCGTTCTGTCGCTATCCAAGACACTAAGGGTGTTCCAATAGAAACGCCTCAAATGATAGAGAATTTCGAGCAGCTCAACGGCTAATCAGCAGATGGGTTATTTACGACCGTTAATTCTCTGTCAACACTGAGGTCAGTCCTGATCGACAGGGGAGTCAGTACAGATCAACCCGCAGAACTAAAAATCGAGAAAGTCTTGACTCACCTGAAGGTAAGAAGGCCGCAAGGTGGATCGAATTCCTGTGGGTTAATTAACTATGGAAGAACGGAAATGGTGAAAAAGCTTCATGCCCTGTTTCATCAAATGTGGACCTAAAAGCATTTATTTCCCATGAGAATGGAAGTGCAGAGTAATTGTTCCCATATGTCAACAGGGTAGGGTAACCGAGTATTCGAAATATCGTGGCACTGCAACGCTGTCAACTGCCGGGAAACTTTTCTCCTATACTACCCCGGAAAGGCTGGATCAGGCAATTGATGAGAGACCTCGCCCAGTCAGGCAGGCTTCCGGCTTGGGTACTCCAACCCTGAACCAATTTTCACTCTGCATCACTGAGAAATGCCGACGATTCCAGTCGCATTGAATTGCCACTTTCCTTAACTTTTATTCACTACATCGTCTGTGGATTTGAAAAATGGTAAGGAATGCCTGAGCACATCGTTTAAAATTC